AATCATAGTTAGGCGACTGGAACCTGGAGTAAGTTTAAAAGTCCAGGCTTTGCTTTAATCTAAATGACTGCCAGACAGAGGTAAGTACAGGACTGGTTCCTCACCTCTTGTGCTTCATAAACGTTAGAGAACACGGATGCCAAGGCTCCCGAGAGAAGGCAAGAAAATCGGGCAAGGCTACCTGTGCAGGACGAGGTACAAGGTGACTGCAGACTGACGTCGCTCTCAGCTAACCGGAATATGGCTAACCTTCAGAGTTCCCCCAGCTCCATGCACATTCCCGCTCCCTCTGTGGACGTGGACCCTTTAGATCCCCAGCTCTATTTTCTATCCAGGTGACAGGATCAGAGGGTGAACTTCTGACCTCGCAAATCCTTTGCGGCCTCGGACTGAAACCGGATGCCTCTGTAGAACATCTTCCCTCGAGCATTTCGTGTGGCAAGCCGAAGAAGATGGGACAAAGAAGGACATCTCTAAAATGGTTTAATGATCATCATATGCATGCTTTCTTCAGACAAGTGAGTAGAGCAAATCCAATCAAATGACGCGGTTTGAGACCTGAATTAAAAATCACGTAGAGAGAAACGGATTTTCTTTCTTTCTTTTTTATTCTTTTGCATTCGGCACACTGACAGAGCGGGAAAAGAAAATGCCTGGAACTTAAATATGGAGGAAGCTCTTTACAACTACATCCACGATTTTGTGCACTTCTCTCACCTCGCACGTCAGTGAAAAATCACCAACTATTATGAAACAGGACAAGTCAAGTCACAAAAGAACCAAAAAATCTCATAAAAAATATATCCAAGTATGAAAAGTACTGTCCTCTTGGCGTCTTCACATCCTTCTCTTCTGTGTACTTATATACAGCACTGGAAAGGAAAAACACACAACACGCTGAAAAAAAAACACCTATGCTTAAAAAATCATAATAGCAAGTTTCCAAAGCAAATAGATTTTGGCCCAACAGCTCTGCAAACTGAAAAGGAATTTTCATACCACACAACAAATTCTAGGACTACTGAAAAACTAGATTTGATGAATCTAGACCTGGGTTTGACGTCTTATAGGACTGTGTTGTAGTGTTCACTATGTATTTGACTGTAAATTGTGACCAGGAGGATAAAAAAAAAAAAATGGATGTGAAAACCCCTGGAATGTAAGAATGTTTTATAATTATAACAATTCTGCTTGTAGTAAGGTAAATCAGTAAATTTGCCAGGCGAAACCTCAGATTAACAATAAAAAACATATTTTCATCCATCTCTCCAACATAAACTCTAAACTTGCTGTTTACTATTTTAACTACAACAGGATAAACAAGAGCTGAGGAGTCTGGGGGTTTTTTGGGGGTGTTTTTAAATACTAAAATCTTTATTCTGCGTTCCCTTTTAAAGTATCAACCTATCCAAAGTTTTGCTCCGCTATCCTCTTGTGACCACCCAAACTGAACTCTTTAGGACATCAGAATAAGACAAAACTTAATAACTAGGTGACTCTGGTCAGGCTTTCAGAGGCGTTCTTCCCCTCCCACCCCCAGGCCCCCTCAGACTCCGACCCGTCCGTTCAAAGTGACCATGAAGAGGTACCTTGATCAAAGAACATAGCACAAATTAAATAGGATCCTTTTTAAGAGACAAAGATGTGAATTTGGGAGTCTAAGGGTAACTACCACTGATTACATCATGGAAAAAGTTATCAGGAAGGGAAGCAGCAGAACGACGGTAGAATTGGACCAGCCCAAGAAGCAGTGAGCACAGGACAGAATCCAGCCTGTCACCACTCACAGGTGACCACTGCTTTCAGCTGTCTGGAGATGGGCAACGATCAGAACATTTCTAGTAAATGGGGGGAGTAAAATAAGACTAACAGAAAAAAATCGAGGAAACCCTACATGTTGGAAGGAATAAAAAGCCAGCAAAATATGTATACAAAGACAGGAGGTGAAGAAATATGGTACTGTAAGAACGGGATACAGAACACCTACAACAAAAGTCAGGATATTTAGTTCAGAGCCGAGATCCAACTGTTAAGGGGGATGAAGAAATTACCCAGAACTAAAGAATTCACATCAATAAAAAATCCAAACTCAAGAGCCCCCGAGCTCCATTTGGGGGATGGGACCAAAGGGGGGGTGGAGGATGGGTCAAGGGATAATTCCCTCAGTTTTGATGTTTTTCCCTTCCCCCTGAGAAATTCAAATACAACTTCTTTGGTAGTTTTCTTTTTAGACAAGGTACTTAAGAGTAACCATAATAATCATAGCAACATACTAGCTGTTAAAAAGTGGAGTAGCTTTAGAATCATGTTTCCTACTTTGTCATTTTTGCCAAACTAAAGGATGCAAACCTCCACAAAAAGCATTTGAACGTTTAAGAGAGGAAGGACATCAGGACAAGCTACCTTCCAGATACTGCAAACCAAAGATACAGGCGAAACAGTGGCCACTCTTACAACGCCAACTTCCAACGTGAGAGGCAGTGTCAGGGGAATTTAATAAACTGTATTCAGGGCTCTGGGTCAGTGTCCTAATGCCCCTCAGGTCCTCATTAGTAAAGAGAGGGAAGGTGAGAATGTCATGTCTATTCCAAAATTCTACGAAGCATCTTAAAAAAAAAGAAACTGGTCACAATGAAGATTTGAGATTGAAAAAGTTAAAAATAAACAACACAAAACTGAAACTAAACTCTTGAGTTATGTAGAAAATGCGCTGGGGATCCTGATTATAAACAAAAAAACCCAAAAAACAAAAAAACAAACTTTTCTTGGATGTTGCACAACCGTACGGCGAGAGAATATTACCATTGTTTCCACGGATAAATGCATCGCCATACTTATTCTTCAGCTGTCCATTTACATATTCTTCCGTCTGCTCCAGGGCTATATTCATGTAGCCATCCAGGCAAGCCAGGACCCCTGGAGGCAGATTTCATCAAAGAGAAGATATACAGGGCAAATAAGAGTTGAAAATTACAGGGTATACCTTAGAGCTGACAACTGCATGATTTGTTAGCTCTTACATGCTTAATATAAAAATTCACACTGTAAGTGAAACGCCATCGTTTCTTTCTACGCCGATGTGAGTGACGGCGAAGAAGCATACAGGGCGAACGCAGTCATGGACCCACCGCCAACAGGGGAAACATTAAACTATCACATGCTTCCTGGGCCGTGTGGTTAACAACAGTAAGTCCTAAAGCCTTCACAAAAATCACGTAACATGCATATTCCAAATAAAACAGCGTTTTCTGGAAGCTAAAATCGGGAGTGGGCAATTGCGCAGGGACAAATGACCACTGGCCAAGGCTCCTCGCTGCGAGTGGCGCTCCTTACTTTAGCCACTCAGTGAAATATGGGTCTGGCAGATTTACTGCATTCCTTCGCAACATCTACTGCAGCAGATGAATGTACTCCAGGGTTCAGAGGAAGTCTCCACAATCTGTTAAAATAATAGGAGAGGAGACAGCAGGTGCTCCTGAAGGAGCACCCGAAAGCTGTGATGTGACTCCTCGTGAAGAGCAGCTTGAGAAGACAGGGCACCATATTGCATTGTTAACACATCCCTTTCTGTTTTGTTAGAGTTCGAAGAGTTTCAAATCCAGACTAATATAGAAAAATGGCCAAGAACATTCTAAGGAGCTTTTAAGGAAACTGAGTGAATCTTTTTAACTGTGTTAAGATAGTATAAATTGTGCAAAACTTGCCCTGATAATTTTTCTCAAAAGAGTAACACATATAAGCCTCTGAGTCTCTAACTTCACATGGTATTTTCTAGAAAAAAAAGAATCGAGTAAAAACAAATACTACAAGTTTGATTCAATTAGCCAAGTCGAGAGCTTCTCTTAGTCTCCACTTCGTTAATATGCTCCTCACTCCCTGCCTCTGCCCCCATTTCCCTCTAAACAAAAATGTTTCTTTTCCAAACTGTGTGTGTAATGAGAACACACGACAGTAATCTAACGGAATACTGCTAGAAGCTGTACACTTTCAAAGAATCAGAAGAGATAATGAATAATTACTAACAATTATTTCCCGTCAAAAGAGCTTAAGCTATAACCTTCCAGTTTATTTCCTGCTGTATTATTTTACATCTAAACCACAATCCTAAGTGAGCAAGAAACTTCCGAAACATGACATGCAAACCTGTTTGAAAGTTAACCCAAAGCATTTCAAAATGAAATATTCACTAATAGAAAAATATCTATTCTCCTAGCAAAGGTTGTTTTAAGAAAAAGATTCCAGGAGGTCGTAATGGTAACCCCCTCCCATCTCTGAGGGATAAACTACTATGAATAACAGAAAGAACAGTTTTCTTCAAACTTAAGAGAAATTGCTACCGAAAGCTGGGGTTTTTAATTTAATCATGATGGTTACTAGCCATGTGAAAGGCTGTTCAACCTCACTAGTAAACAAAGAAACAGAAATAAAATGAAACTATTACTTGTTGCCAATCAGAATGGAAACGCTGAAAACAAGGCTAATACAAGGACTGTTGAGAACACAGAGAAGAATAAGCCCATCTGCCCGGAGGGGGAGGGCCACTGGGCATGCTCATTAACACAGAAATCCTAGGCCAGGGAGTCTATTCTAAAGAAATACTTGGACAAGTGCTCAAGATACATGTCAAAGGAGCAGAGCTGTTTACTTAAAATAGCAAAAAGATTGGTAAACACCTGCAAGCCCATTAATGGGAAAACTGGTTAAAAACAAAAACAAAACTGTGGCACATCTACACAAGGTACTCCTATGCAGCATGGAACACTCTATATTGTCAGAGAACTGAATGCATTCTTTTCACGTAAAAAGAAGAAGAAAATCAGGGTGTATGTATAGCTGATCCCATTTATATAAAATTATGCTTATATGGACACAGGTCCAGACTGGTAGACCTGATTATCTCTGGATGGAAGAATTTGGGGAGACTTTGCTTTCTTCTGTATACTTTTCTTCATTATTTGCTTTGAAATTCTTAAAAAAAAAAAAAGAAAGAAAAAGAAAAACATGTACGCCACCTTTACAGATAAAAAAAAATTTTCCCTAACGAGTATAGAGAAAAAAAGCCTGGCTAGGCTGGTTGATCTCCTCAATGAAGTGGGTTCTGAGAAGACACTGAACACAATGTTCCCACCCTAACCAACTGTTGAATATGCTCAAATCTCTAGAAGTCTGTTATCTCCTTTGGGCTCATCAAAAGTTCATGGGTGTAAAGTGGTATGTAGAGACTTTATATCTCAGTATTCAGTGTAAATCTATTAGTTCCACTATAAAAATTAAACTGGAGATAGGTTATTGACGTCAAGACACTAAAGCAGTACATAAACAGCAGGGTGATTTCTTAACCAGGCTTTTAGTCAAGCTTGAGTTGGGAGTCCTAGCTCCTCCCTTACTAGGGAGAGAGAAACAGATACCTCAAAGGATTTATGTGAAGATAAATTGGAAATTGAAATGATTAGCACACACTGGACACATAGTAAGTTCTCAGGAAAACTAAGTTTGCATGTGTGGAAAGAGGAAAAAGCTCAAGACTACCATCCTCATTCAGAAAAGAGACCAAGAAAAGGCTTTACTCTGCTAATGAATTAGTAAGCTGCACCCGTGAAATACTCCAGGTCATTCACGTATTTGAATTTTGGAAGATTAGGATTTTAGTAACTAAAAAATGGGATTTGACACCATTCCTCCCACAAAGTTAATTGCAGGAGTGTCACCGCCTCTTAAAAGTAGCATTCTCGAAAAGAATGGAAAGGTATATTTGGATAGCACGTGTACTGTAAGAGTGGGAAGTTCATGTTGTAAAATGATACTGTCTAAACAGCTGTTTGTCAACCTTGAATACTTCGGCAAAACCACAGGCTGTCGTGCTAAGTGTTCTTCGGTTTCCAGTTACTCTTGCCTGAGGTGACTGAGAATCCTGGCTATTACCAGGATGTACACATCCAGTCGCAAAGCAGAGACAAGGAGACAACAGTCATAAATCACACCGGAAGTCAGAAGCACACAATCTGCTATGCACCCTGTCTCCAAAGGGAACCATCTCAGAGGTAGAAAAAGAAATGGACATAAAAACTACTGGTAACCAATGCCTTTTTTTCTATTGGGTATGTTTAAGAGCTTAATAGAAACCAGTTAGGTCATATTTACTCATTTAGTTGCACCAGTGAGGACAAAACATGAAAATATTACCTCGATAATCCACTCCAGAATTCAATTTTACCACAACTGGTCGTCCGATGATTTGCTTTAAGAAGTCACTGGGGGTTTGCTTCCGTAGACTCATTTTAACAATCCTGATCAAAAATCTGAAAAGGAGCAATAAAAGTAAAGACAAAAGTTAATTATTCACCCAAAAAAGCCTTTAGCCTGTTTATAGGAAATCACATACCAAAGGACTACATCTGAAGACTCAACATGATTCACTCCTATTACAACATGACAGCTAGCATGTTTCCAGTACTTACTATCAGCCAGATGCTAAGCTAATGCATGACCTCATTCAGTTATCCCACAGCAACCCCACGACACGGGCTTCATCATGGCTCCCTGTGTTAACAGAGCTGCTGTTCTTCATCACTGGTCACTACTGTCTCACACACAGGCAGTATACCCATTACAACCACTGCCACCGCCATCATTTACTGCGTGCTCATTCTATGCTGAGCGCTCTGCTGAGCTCCTTATAAACCCGGTCCCATTTAAGCTTCATAGGAACCCTGAGAAGGAAGTCATAATATCCCCACCTTGCTAATGAAAATAAAAGCACAAAAAGCTGAAATAATGTGCCCCTAAATGTGATGGAGCCAACATTCAAGCTCAACACAGTCGTATTTTAAAGTCTGTGTTATGTAACGCAGGCATATTGACAAACTGATGGCAAAATAGTGTTATTAAAAATAATTATAACCATAACTGAGAGCTAATACCTTACTGTGCTATATGTCAGCACTCACCTAAGCACTTCTCATATAGTAATCCATTTAAACCTATGACGTGATGGGGTAGGTACCGTTTTTAATCTTCATTTTACAGATGAAGAAAGAGTCACAGAGGTCCTGCTCTGGTCACATAGCTGGTAAGTGGACGACTAGCTCACGCTCAGAATCACAACCTTATACAGCCTCTTGAAAGTTCCTAATGCAGCCAGAGCTTTTTTACTCTATTAGAGCAGATATACGCTCTATATAATTAAGAGAAAGTCTTTTCTTTTTTAAGTTTTTATCTTAATTACCTGGTGCTCATCACAGCAAGTGCTTGCCTTCATCCCCATCACCCATTTCACCCAACCCCCTCCCACCTTCCCTCTGGTGACCATCAGTGTGTTCTCTGTAGTTAAGAGTCTTGTTTGTTGGTTTGCCTCTCTCTTCTTTTCCCTTTGCTTGTTTGCTCTGTTTCTTAAATTCTACATATGAGTAAAATCATATGGTATTTGTCTTTCTCTGACTGGCTTATTTCACTTAGCATATTATTCTCTAGCTCCACCCATGCCACTGCAAACGGCAAGATTTCATTCTTTTTGATGGCTGAGTAATATTCCATTTCTCTCACACACACGTGCGTGCACACACACACAAATATACATATATATATACAACCTCTTCCTTTTTTTTTTTTTAAAGATTTTATTTATTTATTTGACAGAGAGAGACACAGCGAGAGAGGGAACACAAGCAGGGGGAGTGGGAGAGGGAGAAGCAGGCTTCCCGCGGAGCAGGGAGCCCGATGCGGGGCTCGATCCCAGGACCCCGGGATCATGACCTGAGCCGAAGGCAGATGCTTAACGACTGAGCCACCCAGGCGCCCCCAACCTCTTCTTTATCCATTCATCAGCTAATGGACCCTTGGGCCGCTTCCATAATTTGGCTATTACAGATAATGCTCTATAAACATCAGGGTGCATGTATCCCTTTGAATTAGTATTTTTGTATTCTTTGGGTAAACACCCAGTAGTGCCATTGCTGGATCATAGGGCAGTTCTATTTTCAACTTTTTGCGGAACCTCCATACTGTTTTCCAGAGTGGTTGCACCAGCTTGCATTCCCACCAAAAGTGTAGGAGGGTTCCTCTTCCTCCACATCCTCCCCCCCAACACCTGTTGTTTCTTGTGTTGTTGATTTTAGCCATTCTGACTGGTGTGAGGAGGTAGCTCACTGTAGTTCTGATTTGCATCTCCCCGATGATCAGTGGTATTGAGCATCTTTTCATGTGTCTGTTGGCCATCTGTAGGTCTTCTTTGGAGAAATGTCTGTTCATGTTTTCTGCCCATTTTCTAATTGCATTATTTGGCTTTTGGGTGTTGAGTTTTATAAGTTCTTTATATACTTTGGATACTAACCCTTTATCAGATATGTCATTTGCAAGTGTTTTCTCCCATTCCAGAGGGTTGCCTTTTAGTACGAAAAACTCTTAAAATTCAAGAATAGGAGGAATCTGAAATACAGAGCATTATATACCCAAATCAAACATACACAGCTGCCAATCACTCCTTTCAAAATTCATCTTGTTATATAATAGTTATCTGGGTCAAAGTATTTTGATAAACAAATGTAACAAAACTATAGTTACTTAAGCAAAAACTAACAGCAAAAGGACTTTGGAAATTACTATTTGTTTCCGTCAAATTCAGCTCACTGTTATTTTGTAGCCACATAGTACTGACACTTAAAAATCAGTATGGATACAATATTTTAAGGACTCTCCTCAAGAACTCAAATTGTTTTCAATCCAAATTTTTATAACACTTTCTTCCATAAACAGCACTGCTTACTTCAAGTCTATCCACTCCACGATCTGAATATGGGTTCAGGAACATTGTTTATAGAGATTTTCTCACAGTGAATCGGCCAGCTCAAGCAGTTTGGTTAAGCTAGAATGCTCGGTTACTGGCTTTTTGTTTCTTGAACAAATACGCATATGTCCACACATATTTTAGGGAACTTCAAAAACACGGCTTTCACACAGGTTCTGACCTTAAAGAACTTAGAATCCAGAATAATTTAAACTCTTGCTCCAAGAGTGTGAGTAAACAAAAGTGATTATAATTTAAGGAAAATAATTTTCTTTAACCCCCAAAAATCAACATCCTCAATTAAATAAAAGAAAATACAAATTTCACAGAGTACGCTTGAACTTGGGGCTGTTCTTTGGACCATTCCCTACTCCATCCTCCTGAGGCTTGAAAGATGTTTAAAATGCGATCAGCTAGTGATTTTACTCAGCAAATTTTAATTTAACTTTCCCACTGGATTGCCAGTTTATTTTTTTAGCTACAGTCTCAGTAGATAACTGGAATTACAACTACTATTCAGGACGACCACTATTCATTTGAGACTCAGACCACACAATTTTATTTATGCTGTTTTGAGCACAAGAAAAAAATATTACAAAGTAAATCCTGTAACAGATTCAGTACTCTTGATGAGTTTAGTAAAAACAAACAAATCTTCCCATTCGTCTACCAACTGCCTTATTTATGTCCTGAACACATGCTGTTTTGTCACTGAACGGGTCTAGAGACTGTTAACTCTGAAGGCCTGATGGAGACTCAGCTCATGAGTCAGGTGCATTTCTTATCAGACGTGAAATCCCATGATGGTGCTTTCTATGTACAAGACCGAGACAAAACTAGCCGTTTCCTTCGTGTTAAAAAAACAAAAACAAAAACAAAAACCACTAAGATGCATGGTCATGTGAAAATCTAGTTGACAGGAATATTACTAACTACCTCATCCAAAGTTAAAAGTTAATGACAGAGGCGCCTGGGTGGCTCAGTCGTTAAGCGTCTGCCTTCGACTCAGGTCATGATCTCAGGGTCCTGGGATCAAGCCCCGCGTTGGGCTCCCTGCTCCGCGGGAAGCCTGCTTCTCCCTCTCCCACTCCTCCTGCTTGTGTTCCCTCTCTCGCTGTTTCTCTCTCTCTGTCAAAAACAATTAAATCTTTAGAATAAATGAATAAATAAATAAATAAAAGTTAATGACAGCAAAAAGACCCCAAGCCTAGACAAACTGCTGGTATTGGCTATTTTTTAAAATGTTATTCGTCTTCTTTCTTCACCTTTTTAAAAAGCACAGATAATACTCCTCTAAGCTCATCAAAGATCACACCTCTGCCATTAAAGCCACATCCTCACTCCAATTAGCATCAATCTCTTCCAGAAGGTGTTCAACACTTCAAACTTCCGTGCAGTGCCTGAGTGTCGGGTGCACAGGCTGGGGGAGGGGTGGCTAACACTAATTAAGATACAGGTAGCCTCGGGCCCTCAGAGTTTACACTCCAAAGCTGGCCCAAAAACACGTCATTGGAGAACTTTTTAGAAGTTGTATGTATGTGGATAGAATTATGCAGAGAACAGCACGTAGAGAAAGCAGCTCACCTGGCACAGCTTGGCAGAGCAGAGGATTTCTGGAGGTGACACCTGTGCTGAGCGAGAAGGGAAAGGAGCCCACCGGCCGAAAGGAGAGAAATCTTAGCAAAGACACTGGACGGTGTAATTGCGTTTGAGGAGAAAACGCTATACGGGCCAAGAGGGCAAAATGTAGGTGCAGGAGGGAGCAGGGCCACATTCCTGGCAAGCAGGGCAAGTCAGGCTAAGAGACCTTGGACTTGAGCTGCCAGCTCAGTATCCCAAACACGAAAGCAATTGGCTCACTTGGAGATTCTGATTCAGTAGTTCTGGGGCAGAACCCGGGAACTGGTTCGCACACGCCCGGCAGATTTCTCTGACCTGGCAAGTCTGGGGAACACCGTGTCAGCGACAGGAAACACGACAGGGTCATGAGCAGAGACCTGCCTGAGCTCGGCTCCCCAGGGCAGAGCATAGGTGGGCCACCTCACCTAGTTCTGACATGGCGGCGTCCCCCAAAGGTTGTACTGGCTACAATCTGTCACTACTCTCTGACATTCTCTACTTTTTTTGTACTAGTTTTTCACCCTCAAAAGATGGGAAGCCATGTGAAAGGCAAGACTACTCTCAAGCTTTTCATTTTTTTCTCCAGAGCATCTGCATTCTGCTAAATCTCTTGGGGAAAAAAAAAAAATTCAGAAGTTATTTGAAAAGGGGGTGGTTGCTTCAAACGCATTTTATCCATCACTCTAGGAGACCACATCTTCTACATTCATCTTCATTAGGCTTCCTTGGTACTCCCCGTTACTTAATGACTTGCCCATAAATCCATTTTGTATGAGTAAATTGGTCTCAACATCACAATTTTTCCCATCACTTGGCTCACGTAATTTTAAGTGTTCATCTTTTAAATTGGTTAAGGCAGAAGGCACAGTTCTGACCATTTCTGAAGCGAGAGAAAAGACTCTTGAACCATAAACACAGAAGAGGAAAAAGGCCTCCTTTCTGCAGGGTCACCTTGATAAAACTTCTCCCTTCAAAATTAAAGCCATAATCACCTCTATGCCTCTCTCCCTCCCCTGACTCCTACTCAGGCTTGTTTTAAATGACCTATTTTCAGAAACGGCTATTAAGTCAAAGGCAGTATATTTTCTGCCAGAAGCTACTGAGAGGTCTAGTATAAGAACATCCGCAAACTGCCCTGCAGAGATTTTTTTTTAGTAAAAGAATGGGGGAAAAAGAACCAAATTTTATTCATCCAACTATGTGCCAGGCTGCGTTAGATTCACGAGCAATTCACACGGTAACCCTGCGAGGTGGCAAGCACAACTAAGGCGGGGTCCCAAAGCCTAAGCCCTTTCAAAGCTGCCCTTTGGAATATGTCTAGATCCTCCTGTGACAGGTGGGGAACGACCACAGACATCTATGGAGATGTAGGGGAGATCCAGCTGGAGAGCGGGAGCACTGAAGGAAAAATGCCTAAAGGCACAAAGTGCTGTCAATTAGCCTGTGAAGAAATACAATGGTCAAAGGTTAAGAAATCTATCTAACGTGATTTTGAGTTACGTCACTGAACAGAGGACTCGCAAATCCTTGCTTCTTGGCAATGGTTACCTGTAAACTTTCACCTCCTCATAGAATATTTACAGTTTAGGGTGAAAAGAATGTGAAAAGTAAATAATTACAATGAAGCATAACATAACAACCCACGTAAATGCAGCTCGAGACTAATACCTCAGTGTCTGAGAGGGCATCAGACACTGAGACCAGCTCTCTAAACATCACCCTCCTCAGACAGTTGGGGTACCTAGTCCTTCTGAAGGCTTCATACCAATCCCTCCTCCCCACATGGTAGGGGGCTACCTTCCTCCCCTCCCTCACTCCAGCCCAGAATCCAGCACTCACAGCACCCCTTTCCACTTATCAGGCTCTTGCATAGTTCTCCTGCTGACCAGTCTCCCGTGGTAGGCTCTAAGCTTCTCAGAGACAGGGAAAATGGTGTCCCTGGTACCTAAGCTCA